CAACAAAGTCCCAGATAGTCCATAAATAATTGGAAAGTTTTATCAAGCCACAATTATTAAATAGGGTTTTTATAATATTATATACAATATAAAATTGATAACGCCTGGTAATAAAACACACGTTGTAATTAATTCAGCCAAAGGTTATTTTGCCTTTGAATTAAAATTTATAAAAATATAATTTTTGTGTAAAGAACTCATCATGATTGTGTTTGTAGATACTAATTTCTTAAATAAATAAACAAAATTATATTGAAAAAATATAACATTTTAAATAAAATGTAAAAAATGACTTAAAACAACTATAAAAAAAACTTGTGTGAGTGTCGTGGATCACCCGGTTGGAACGAAGTTCCTTTCATAATATATTGTTATTGATAAACGTATTATATTATTGATTAAGAAATACAAATAAATAAATTACTAGCGTCTATTAAAATTAAGCGTCATTAACAAGAGAATAATATTTATTTCATGGCAAGATAACAAATAGTGCGAGGGAGATGGCTATTATTCAATCTCGCTTCCTTATAGCCGTCAAGGCCGTCTACAGGGGTCGTGATGGAAAAATCTTACACTTTTTCTCGCCTAGCCGCCATCCGCTAAATTCGTACCGTTCGCTAAGGAACTTCGTTCCAATAACAAAAAAAATATCCACATAACATCTTCAGATGTGGATGGTGAGACATAACGTAACGAAGAATCCCCGATTTTATAGGCTAATATCTTGAAATTATTTTCTTCTTTTTGTTCTTTGAAGACGGTTTCAACTTTTGATTAAAAGATTAATGTTTTTGATCCTTTTGAGTGGACTAAGAAATATCACAAGTTCAAATTTGCAACAAGAAGCGAGAGAGCTAAACAGTTGAATTGAACTTCATCCCTTCAGTTCAATTTTTTTCAAATTTAATTGGGATTACACCTTGAAGATATAACCTATTGAATAAAAAAAATAATCAAGTCAGTTTACAATTGATGAAAATATAGCCTTACTTACATTTAAATTTCATACGTGGTAGAACCATGCTGCAGCAATATTATGGTTGTAGCACGAATGGGTCGGCTCGACCGGGGAAGGATCACGCTCTCACAGAATACCAGCATGTTATTAGATTATTATCACCATAGAAAACACAGCTTAATGTTGCTGTGTTTCCTATGTTGAATGTTGAGAACAGGAGACCCTTTCAACGTTTTATCTTAGTTCTCTGGGACAACTCATCTGCATTTTGATTCTCAATCTACACACAGCATCCACTTACTATCAAGCGGACTGTGTGCTCATTTGTCACACTTATTCTATAAAAAAAATACAAAAATATACAGTCGAATTTAAAACGTCCTCCTCTCTAAAGTCACATATTCATTGTTACAAATAGAAATAGATTAAAAGATTACAAAATCTGTTTAACTTACACAATTTTCAACTAGTGTCTAAACTAGTTCCAATGAATGTTTTAAAAACTTCTATTTGGATAATTGCTTAATATATCCGCGACTGCCTCGTTGGCCTAGTGATTGTAAACATGACTGCAGATCATGACGTCCCGGGTTTGAATTCTTGGTCGGGCCAACAAAAGTCAGTTATTGAGTTTTCTGTCAAGAAATTCTCAATAGCCCGGAGTCAGGAAGATGGTGTCGTGTCACCCCCGTGCCTCGGAAAGCACGAAAAGCCGTCGGTCTTGCGCCTGATATCTCTTCAGTCGTGTCGGCTTGCCGTTCTGTCGGACTATGAGAGTGAGGGAATAGAGATTGTACTTGGGCTTGCGCAAGCAGAGACATTGACTCAAACACTATAATTCTGTCCTGCGCAGATGTCTAGTCTCTATTGAGGCTGGTCGCCGTGACCGAAGTCACTCTAGAAGTATATATATATATATATATATATATATATATATATATTATTGCTAAACTCCTGAGATTAGCAATAAAAAAATTGAGGGTCACTTATCGGGATAGAAACTATCCTATTTCTAAAGTTGGACTAAACTATTCATTCAAAAATTTCATTGAAATCAGTTCAGTAGTTTAGGAGTCCATCGCGGACAAAAAATGCGACACGTAATTTTTATATATAAAGATATATATATAATATTTTCCAGGAAAGGATATATATATATATATATATATATATATATATATATATATATATATATATATATATATATATATATATCTATATATATATACATATATCCTTTTCTAATATAAGAACAATATTTATATTATATTTGTTTGTTTGTTAGTAATCGTGTTCTCGAAAACATGCTTAAGGATTTCGATTTAATATACAATAAAGAAGTTTACGGGGGCGAGAAATCGATTTAGCTAGGATAATTCGTTTTTACCGTGTTTTCATGCTTAAAATAATAAACTTGACTTGCCCACACAATATGATTGGTGATTTATTCGTTCGATCGTCTTTTTAATAGCCCAATAACTAAGATTTAGGTCTAACAGGCTGGAGTTTGCGAGTTCGCATTCGGTCAGATTCTGTAAGTTTTTTTTTCCTATAGTATTCTAGCCCATACGACGCACACATCTGCGCAACAATAAATTATTTTAGACTAATATAATGTTTGGATGGATGAGTAATGTACATTTTTATGGTGCTATGCGTGCTTTTTAACTATGAGATCAAAGTTTTAGTCAGAAAATGTTAGATTAAAGTTAAAAATCATTGTTTTATGTTAATATAATAAAACCTATTTCTTAATATTTTGAATGATTAAAATAAAGAAGGAAAATTAATAGTATATGTAGAGATATCTCTATGTAACTGGTTTCTTGGAAACGGCTCTGTCGGGTGTTTTACGTCGTAGTGTCACACTGCAGCTTTGGTTGAAGCACGAATCACACGCTCTCACAGAATACCAGCGTAAAATAGCAGCTCGATGCTGTTGTGTTTCGTATCGTGAGTGTGGAGAGCCGGAGATTCTTTTTACTGGAAACGAGGCATTCCATTTTAGTGCTCGAGGGTGGCAAAGCATCTGCATTTTGATTCTTAATCGAGGATACATGTAGATGTCAATGGGTCACAGCATCCACTTACCATCAGGTGGACAGTGTGCTCGTTTATCACCCTTATTCTAGAAATAAATTAATAAATTTGAATGAAATTTTGTAATTAGATAATGTTTTACTTAACAATTTTTTCTAGATAGGTATACTCGCTAGTTTTTTTTCGCACAGATACTAACAGTAACTTAAAACCTAGTTTCAATTATCCTCAGCACCATTAAAATTTAAAACATGATAGAGACATGCTACAGCTATATTATGGTTGTACAAATGGGTTGGTTAGACCGTGGAAGGACCACGCTCTCATAGAATACCAGCGTAAAATAGCAGCTTAATGCTCCTGTGTTTCATATAGTGGTATAGAGAATCAGAGACTCTTTTTAGTGTATTCGAGGAATTCCATCTTAGTCCTCAAAGGTGACAACGCATCAGCATTTTGAATTGCAATGGAAGAAAGATGTCTATGGGCTACAGTATCCACTTACCATCAGGTCGACTGTGTGCTCCCTTGTCACTCTTATTCAATATAAAAACAACGAAATTGTTAAGTGCTGATTTAACACGTGCTCGTCGAGAAAAACATGGTAAGGGAACGTACATATCGGCGCATCGCGGTGGACTAATTCAGAAGAACACTATTACTTTTAGTAATTGCTCCAGAGTCTTTTCAAAATAAAATGAGAGGAGAACTTTGCCGCGAAAGAGGGATACATAAAGGCTGTTTTACAACCGCAATATAGGGGTTATTATGCGACCGCCCTAAATCTCAACTTAAAAAGTTTATATTGCGTAAAATTGTAATATTTATAAAAAGTAAATATACAGTACTACACCATACGGTGGCGGTGTGGGAATACACACCCCATATCATGCCATGGGTGCCGAAAGAGGCAACAGATATAAGCAAGGAGGTGGCCAGTAGCGTACCAGTTCCTAATAACAACCAGAAAATAAAAAAACTGCGGTTGCCAACCCGCCTGCCAACGATGGCAGGCCTTACAAACAATATTTTTGGAAGTGGACCTTGATAGTCTGTAAAGATGAAAGATGAAAGTGACAGTTGTGTCTTTCTGCAGGATGCAGATCTCCTATTTTTGAAAGGATATTGGCATGGGGAAGACCTCGTCGCGTTGCCCTAATGCTAATGGCGAATTTCACATGTTCTCGAAATATTTTTAATTTTCCAAACTTGCATGTTGTCTCGCGACGGCAACCTTCACTGTCTAGCACACGGTGAACGCACACCACCGCAACTACCACATCAACATCATCATCATCACTACAGCCCTTAGCAAGTCCAATGCTGTTCATAGGTCTCCCTCAAGGAATGCCAGGTCGTCACTACGTACTACAACATATACAATAAGAATATGACGATACACAATGACTAATAACTCATAGTTGTAAATAACTGAATACCATATTAACGTATTTATCGTATTTTTTTAAATAATACGTTTTACGTGGTAGAGCCATGCTGCAGCTATATTACTGGTATAGTTGTAGCACAAATGGTTCTGTTCGACCGTTATAATGTTGATGTGTAAGTTGATAATAATGGTGCTGTGTATTGAATTTTTTGAGAACTGGATAGCATTAAGGTTTATGTAAAAAAGATGCAATCTGCCTACGTTTTAATAATCAGATAAATATATTAACAGTTTTATGAATAAAATTCTTCATTTATTTCTATGGCGCAATCTATGGGTGGCTTTGATGAGCAAAGGAAATTGAAAAGCTGTGATGATGATGTTGAATGTATTACTCTGATTTGTCTTTCGTATCTTTTTCTTACTTTTAATGATTATTGTTTTCCGAATCATGTATACGAATGTGTAAAATAATAATGCAAAAGTAAATAAAAATATATTATATTTTAAACAAAAAAAAACAAACATTATATTTTACTTTACAATAAACATTAACAACTTTGAAACATCACTTGGTACAATTGACTAGAAAAAGACCATCCGCGACGATCACCACCAGCCACTGGAGTAACCACCGGCGGAGTAGCCGTACCCACTTCCTAACCCACCGCCGTATACGCTGCCGTATCCGCCGCCGTACCCGCCGTTGTATCCGTTGCTGTAGACAGAGTAGCTGGGCGCAGCCACTACTTTGTTAACGGACACAACTTGGGGCACGGAAACAACCTTGTTAACCCTGACTACTTGTGGGACGCTGACAACCTTGGGAACGTTGACGACCTTGTTGACGGAGACTACTTGAGCCGCGGGTGCAGCGTAGCCCTCAGAGATGCCGCCTAAGGCAGAGATGCCACCGTAACCAGTGTAGCCGCCGCCGCCGGAGTACAGCCCGCCGAGGAAGCCGCGCTTCTCGCGCACGCTCCCGCCCGCCGCACAAGCCACCAAGCACAACACTGCGATCTGTATAGGATTTTTTTTAATTAGGTTAATAATAACATTAAATTTGTAGCTCTTACTGTATCTAACGTGGCAGATTCACGTTGCAGCTATATTATGGTGTTTCACAAATGGGACTGCTCAACCGAATAAGCATCACTCCCCAAGAATACCAGATTAAAAAAGCAGGCTTAATGCTGTTGTGTTTCCGATGACGAGTGTAACGAACCGAAACCCCTTTTTACTGGTAACGAAGATCGCTTCGTGTTTAAAATCTTGGTATTTAAAGTTGACAACGCGACTACATTTTAAGAATATATAGATGTAGATGTCATGATTAATTGTTATGAAAGGAATGAAGACGATTCATTTAAATATAAAATACTTTATAAATAAGTGGATACAATTAACATTGATCTAAATCTTGAACTCTAGTAACTTAACTAATTGTTATGTAAATTCTATTAATTAAAAACTTTTTCTATAACTCCAAAAATAGAATACTCACGAAGGCTCTCATGGTTGTGTTCGACGATTGGATGTACTGGAGAATGATATCAAGCTGTGCACGGTCAGTCTTCTGCGCCAATATATATATACATCAACGCTACTCGGTGTTTCGTAACTCGTCCTCGCTCATCGAATGTCGCATAAAATTTTGGTCGTGTGACGTTCAATTCATAACTTTATTAATAAATTATGTCGTCAAATATTGCAATTTTTTTTTAGCAAGCCAATTTTAATTTAAAATACCATTAGCTATAAATGATAATACTAGGTGATATAGGCTGTTGGCACCCTTCTGTCTGTTTCTGCCGCCATTCAGATTGCACCTTTTTTACATATATATATATTGATGTAAGTGAAATAAACGAGCACACAGTACACATGATAATAAGTGGATATCTTAGTTCGTAGACAGCTTTTTTTCCAGGGGATATGCATACGCATACCCGCTTCGAGGTGGGGCGGGGGACAAAGACAGGTTATGTCGGACTCGCCCAACTAAAACCCCATGGTATTCCATCCTCGCTGCAAATTGGCAGTACCAGTGAAACGCTTTCTTATATATCCGCGACTCCACAGACGTCGGTCACCTCATGGCAGCCCCTTGTCGAGAGAGGCCCCAGCACCTTTTCCTTCTTTCACTCAGGCAATGCGCACCAGAATACATACGGAGCCCATGGGACTAGGAAAAACAAGCTCTCCGGAGCACTAGATTTCCTGATCCAGCGGCCGATCTTATCTGTGGCTCCGTTGGCGCCGCCAACTAAGATTTGGCCGCGGAATTCAGGGATAGCGGTGGCTCACAATACCATCACTCCCCTCCTCTTGCGGCCCTACTACCGCAACAACTTTGAGGCCCCGCCAGAGTCGCGGAGTATAAGGCGAGTGGCGCATCACCATACTAACGCGACTCCACCTCGGCTGCGGAGGGTAAGAAGAGAGGACACTTCTCTCGCTACAATCCACCAACGTGCATCCGGAGTGAGCTGGGCCCTTTTGGAGTGGCCACCTCGAGGCAGCCCCACATCTTAGGCCAGCTAAGTGGGTTCCACTTTGTTAATCATGGTTGACCAATCTACATCTACTAAGCCTTCCCGCCACAGCTGGAAGAATTGAATTTCGTGTTACCTAGGGCTGTATTTTTATTGAAAGTTATATAGTCTTTAGAGTATGATTAAGCTTAAAATGGAAATTACGAGGGCAAACCAAACAACAACAAAAATACTGCTAACTTAACATCAAACTTTATTGCTTAAAGTAACAAAATCAATTAATCGATTTTCTCAAACACCTCTTCCATGACCTGTTGAAATGTTGCTTGTGCATTTTCCGGCGAAAATTCAAACTGAACTGAAATTTTGCAAACTGTATACTTTCAGCTGGTTTTTATTATAATAAAAAGAAGTCACGTGATGCTAAACCAGTGTTATATGGAGGGTATTCGAAAAGCGATTTCGTTAGTGGTTGAGCCACGTTGTAGCTATATTATTGTTGTAGCACGAATGAGTCAGCTCGACCGGGGTAAAACCACGCTCTCATAGAATACTAGCGTGAAATAGCAGCTTAATGTTGCTGTGTATCGTATGATGCGTGTAAAGAACCGGAGACTGGAAAGAGTATTTCATCTTAGTCCTCAGCGAGGACAACGAATTTGCAATTTGACTCCTTTTTTTATAGGCTAAGGGAGACAAACGACAACACAGTCCATCTGATGGTAAGTGGTTGCTGCGGCCCATAGACATCTACATTTATCCTCGATTACAAATCAAAATGCAGATGCGTTGTCACCCCTGAGGACTAAGATGGAATGCCTGGTTTCCAGTAAAAAGGATCTCCGGTTCTCTATACTCACCATACGAAACACAACAACGTTAAGCTGCTATTTTACGTTGGTATTCTGTGAGAGCGTGGTCCTTCCCCGGCAGAGCCGACCCATTCGTACAACTATACTACTAATATAGCTGCAGCATGGCTCTACCACAAGAAGAATTTTTATAACAACAATAATCTCCTAATTGAGAATAAATGTAGATGTCTATGAGCCGCAGTGACTACTTACCATCGGGTGAACTGTGTGCTCGTTTGTCGCTCTTATGCTATAATAAAAGCTGAACGAAGTCCCTCAAGTTGAGCGCTGAGTTTGTAAACACGTTATCATGGTCAGGCAATAGACCGCGGAGCGGTATTCGGTCACTTGTTGTTCATAGTAGTGAAAACTTCTGGCACGAATTAGGAAGAACCCCACTCGGCATTGACGCTACTTCAAATTCTTCCTCCAACAAGTGGTAAAATTAAAAATTTTGTACAACCGACTTCAATATAAATGATTAAGAATAACTCCAAAACTACTGGTCAGACCTTAATCAAATTTATATGTGACCACATCACAAGCACCAGCTTTAAAAAAATTTTTTTTCCAAATCGGTTCAGGCGTCTTTGACTAATCGGTGAACATATATAAAAAAAATCCGACGAACTCAGAACCTCGGTTGAAAAGAATTAAGAACAAATACCCAGTCAATGTAAAAAAATAGCAACCAAAGTCTTTCCTGCACTTATCAATCGATATCGATTTAATTTTTTAGGCTTTGTTTTTTTTTCGAACAGAGAAACAATTTCTTAGCGCTTTGTTTCTGGAGCATACTGATAAATCTAAGATTCATCACCTGTAATAATGTCATAAACATGCCGAGACAAGTGCGTTTCAAATTTAGTCATCATATCACGACACCAATCCACACGGGCCTGCTTCTGAGCATCGTTGAGTTTGTGTCGGCACCTGACGCGAAGCAATCCTCTTTACGTGAACGTGTTCGTTTACAATCTTGTGAAAACTTCTCCATCCAATTTGCAATATCTGCTAAATCTCTCCAAACATAATTTGCAAATTCTCTTCAGTAAAATTTTTCACTGCTAGCATGTTTTTTCTTTTTCAGACGTGAAAGAGCAAGACACATCTTTCTTCATCTCACAGTTGACCGTGCTGAAATTTGTTATACCAGCGATACACAGTTGAGTTAGAAGAGCCTTTATTCCTCAATACCATTTAAAGTCTAGAAAAAGATTCTTCAGACGTTTGGAATCGTAAAAAATCATCACGTGAAAGTGTTCGATTCATTCTTGTTTTTATTTTATTAAATCCATTTCATCAATGAAACAAGGCATTTCAATTCAGCTCGTATAAATATGTAGAAGGAAGCTTAAATTAATTTAAAAATTCATTATTAATTTGAAAATTCACTGCTTTAACATAAAAATAATCTTGTTTAAAAAAATCTTCTGGCTAGTATCTTACAAAAATAAAAATACATTTTTCGCAAATCATTCTACATGGCCTATGGTAATGTAATAGTTCGAAATCTATTGCTAATTATTTGTTGCTCGAAAACAGTGTCAAAAAAAGGAGGTGGATTTGATCCCGACTGGCCTGCATAGCCATAGAAACCGCGAATGAGCAGATAATTTATGTGCAGCAGGAAGAGAGTGCGGAGAGAACGGACACTTCTCGCGTTTGTCGCAATACGATATTTTTTGTTTTTGTGTACATACATTTAATTTCGTAAATATACTGAGAGGCCAAAGTTAATATGTTTATTTCTGTAAATTTATCTCTACGGACCTAGTTTAAAATTGCTTTTATTTCTAATAAAATACTCTTCTGCAAAACAAAAATAGTTTCAATGTTAGTTACATTACCACATGGAAAAATTCCATACGAAATTATGCTATGGAAATAACTAAAATAAATTAATCTAACTGTTTCAACATATGAAAGGCCTCTAATATTTTATACAGCATGTGCTCCAGAACTAAGTTAGCTACCTAGTTTAAATATATGGGAGCTGCCTTTAAGCTTTGCGTCAACTATAATTCCAGGAATAATAGTGAATTCAACAAGAATCTCCTCCCCATTTAAAAGCACACTAGTAATCACCTGGTTAACATTTGGCGTTGATTTAATACATTTCGTTTTATTAACGTTTAAAAGCAAATTATTGACGTTATACCAGTGTATTACTTTTGGTAAAGCATTATTCACTACGTTTTATTTTAATAATTGCTGTTTAGGTCGGAAAATGAACGAAGTATTATCAGTAAATAAAACCATATCATGTACCCTTTTTTTTTTTTTTTTTACATGGGGAAATGCTTACGCATACCCGCCTCGCGGGGGCAAGGACGGGTTATGTCGGACTCGCACCGACTAAAACCCCATGGTGTTCCACCCTTGTCGCATATTGGCAGGGCCACGGGAACACTTTCGCACACTTCCGCGGCCCCACCTGCGCTGGCCACCCCATGGCGGCCCCTCCTCGGGAGAGGACCACTCCTCCCCATCTCCTTCTCCGGTAAGGCGCACCAGAACACATGGCGCGCCCTCCTCCTCGGCCTCCAATTTCATATGCGCAACGAACGCCCCCGTGTCCGATGCGCGAAGGCCATGGGGCCAGGAAAAACTAGCTCTCAGACGCACCAGCCTTCCTGACCCCAGCGGCGGATCTGGTCTATGGCTCCGCCGCCAACCAAGATTCGGCTGCGGATGGTAGGGAGAGCGGCGCCTCGCAATACCGACACTCCTCTCCCCCCGCAGCCCCACCACCACCGCATCATTAACGGTGCGACCCCGTCTGAGTCGCGGAGGATAGGGCGAGTGGCGCATCGCCATACCAGCACTCCTCTTCCTCCGCGACTCCACCTCGGCTGCAGCGGTAGAGGGAGCGGACACCCCTCTATCCGCAGCCCACCAACACACATCCGAAGCGGGCTCGTCAAGCCCGGGGGGGGATATCATGTACCCTACCAAATGAGTAAAGTCAACTATATAAATTAAGAACAAGAAAGGTCCAAGAATTGAGCCCTGGGAAACATCTAGCGACCCGGAAGAACTACTTCCACGAATATAATA